AGCGATGCACTTGTTCCTAGTAGCTTCTTGCTCCTAGTAGTACGGCCAGGAGCCCCTAGTAGCGTCCTTGCTCCTGATGCCACCGGACCTTGGACCCAATCTTGCTACACAGCCAACATGATGTCTTGTATGGGCGCCTCCGCATTGTCTAGGTTGCTGAACTAGATTGCCCTTGGGGCGAGAATGATATGGCTCTTGCAATTGAAGTCTCATTACCTTCCAGAAGGTTGAGCCTACCTTGTTTCGATCCCACGGCCTGTCCTTCAACCCCTCGGTAGGCAAGGTGGAGTGGTGACAATTCCCCGTTTCTCCCGCCACAACCGCAGCTAGGGGTGTTATAAACAACGAAAGGATTTCAACGGCTGGATTCTTCAGGAGCAAGGACGCTACTAGGAGCAAAGGGCATCGCTACTAGGAGCAAGGACGGTACCAGGGTCTCCTCGCCTTAGGAACAAAGGGCAGCTAGTAGCCTAGTAGCTTCTTGATTTCCCACCAAGCGCGTTTTCATGGCAAAGAGCGCTCCTTGTTACAAAGAGCGTCGAATTTCCCGAGTGATCGGACCACGCGGAGCGGACCACGAGTTTTCTCGGCAGACCACCAGCACCACCACGACGAGCACCAGCACGGTGACTTCTACTAGCACCACCACCACCTCCACGGTGCGGCGGCCATGGGGATGGAGAATGTACTAATGACTGATAGTCACTAGGAGGAAGGAGCCCCTAGTAGCGATGCCAGGAGCCCCTAGCGTCCTTGCTCCTAGTAGCGATGCCCTTGCCCCTAGTAGCTCCTAGTAGCGATGCAAGATCACACGATGGATCACAATGGATTTGTAGATTTGTTCTTCGTAGCAAAAGGCCGGCAGGGGCCCATGTCGAAGAGTGGTTGATGAGTTTGTGGAAAACGTAAAGATCGACTGATGCAAACAAGGGGCGACAGACTCAGGAATTGTATGAAGGGACTCCTTCTTAAAGTAACATCATGTCCACAGCTGTCTAGAAATCTTCCGGAAACACTGTCATTGTAGCAGGCATCTTCCAACGCGACTCAGCTTTGTTCAACTGTCTCCCTTTGTAGGCTTTCAACTTCCTGAAAGGGTCCGTGTGCAGAGTCAACAAGGGACATTTTGTGAAGGTTTCGTACACTTTGCCTTCATGGGGAATCTGTCCAGTACGTTCAGCCTCTGTGATCACAATGAGGTTTGGAGATCTCTCATATCTAGTTGATGAACGGTTTGACATTGTGGAATTGGGCTCTACATTTACACATTGATGACCTGTGGTTCTTAGGACCTTGAGTCTTGAGCTGCACTGCGTCTTGGTAGACACATGTTCACCCTCCATAATGGCCCTGCCGACTCCTCAAGGCCTCCACATACAAGAGCTTAAGAAAGGCCCAGTTTTCCAACCATGACTGCCAGGCAAAGCCGTGTTCCCCTTGATGCTCGACGGATCGGACAGAGCGAAGAAACGCTGGTTTCGTGGACTTTCAAAAAGCCTCGCGCCAGTCGACGGTCACCACCACGACCACCACAGAGACAACGACCAGCACGACGAGCACCTCCACCTCCACAGCTGCTTGGCAGGACATGGAACGATGACTTAGATTTCGGAATGCAAATCGATCGTCAGTGTGGAGGAGTTTCGAGATTCCAGCAGAATGAGAAGCTTCAAGCATCTGGGTCAACCAACAAAAGAAAGAGATTTGCTGCTTCGCATGACTGATCATGAATCATGACTGATTTGTTGCCTCACTGAGACCACTACCTCGACTTCCACGGAGACCATCACGACGACCTCCACCAGCACCAGCACGACCAGCACATCCACGGCCCCTTTCAAGCACCATCCACGGCCAGGAAACAGGCGGAACGGGGAAGGTGTGAAACAATGTGAATCCATCCTAATAGCCATGGCCTCCAACCTAACAGCGATGGCCTCCAACTCAGCCTAATAGCGATGGCCTCCAACCAAAAGAGATGGCCTCCAACCTAATAGCGTTGGGTAGTGAGTGTATACTACAACTCCCCAAATAGATAGACAAGTAGATCCCAACTACGAATGTATTGGACACCGTGCCGTGCCACTATCTATTTGGGACCCTGGCCAGAATGAGTTGCATCACTCGGATCATCGAGCGAAAAGATGCCAGGTAAACAGGACTCAATGCACACCCTGCATGTTGTTCTACTTTGGAACAACTCTTTGATAGCAATTAGGTATGGTTTTGTCAAATTTCCAACCTTGAGGCCACCCGCGTGGCCAATCAATTCCGACTCTGATGGCCTAAGCTTCGAGTGGCACCTTTAAAGATGTACCAAGCATTTGCTTAGAAGCTGGCGCGGATCACATGTTGAAAGTCAGTTCAACTGTTTTGGCATAGGTGCAGCATAGCTTGCATTTGGCATTCCTGATGCCTCAATCCCTCATAATCCCTTATAATCTTTAAATCTACTCCCCCTCAGACCTCCAAGAAGCTACTAGGGGCTCCTGGCCTTACTACTAGGAACAAGAATACTAGGAGCAAAGGGCATCGCTACGATCGGAGCAAAGGACGCTACGAATGGTACCCTTCTTTTTGTCTTCCGCTTTCCGCTTTCCAGATCCGACCGCTCGGAGCATTCTCCCAGGTCACAAGCACCAGCACCACCACGACCAAGACCTCCACCACGACCTCCACAAGCACCACCTCCACGGCTCCGAGTCTCAGCAAAGGACCGACCGTGGGAGCCCCTTGTGTAGAGAACGGACATGAACGGACCAACACCCAGCGTTCTTGCTCCTAGTACTAAGGCCAGGAGCTACTAGTAGCGTGCTTGCTACACCCCGTTTCGGTTTTGGGGGATCAGCGTTTCTTGGTTCTCTCATTTGGATTTGGGCCTTGGATAGTAGGCTTGGAGGTTCATGAAAGCCGAGGATGTGGACACTGCCCTTCCAAACCAAGCACTGGGCCTTCCGACCATCTAGCCAAGAGTCTGGCATTCATATGTCATCAGCCAGACCCACCGGCGGGTTGCGATGTGTCATTGGATGGGCTGGAAATCCAACAACCTTTAGCAAACAAGAATGAACAGAATCAATTGACTCTTGGGAGATCACTACCTCGTACCAAGCTTTTATTTGACTCAGATAGCTCTCCTGTGTAGCTGCTTCGCATGATTGCTCCTGCCGAGTCCACCACGAGCACTTCCACACAGACATCTACCACAACCACGGTGACTGAAACGGTCCGGGTGGCCAAGGAGTTGGACATTGGCTGAAGTTAAAGACCAGGTGGTTCAAATGGATACTAATAGCAGTACTAATAGCGATGGCCTGCAACCTAATAGCGATGGCCTCTAACCTAAGAGCGATGGCCTCCAACCTAATAGCAACGGCCTCCAACCTACTAGCAATGACCAGGTTGTTCAAATGGATACACCCCAAAGCTGATTTGGGGCGAGGGTGTCTTCCTTTCACTTGCTCCAGTAACCAAGCTTCTATTGTTGGAAAGACCTATCGAAGTGAAGTTCTCAGTCAAGGAGTTATCAATGAAAAAAGACTCGGGCTGTGGGCAAACCACGAACAAAGCGTTAAAAGACAGTCTGAACTGGTGGCCCGAAGCCTAAATAGATTCTGAAACCCGTGACCCGTGACCCACCTTTTACATACCATTTGATTCAATCATGAAATACAACGCTTGGACGTAAGTCACTTAAGTCACTTAAGTCATGAGTTGACGATGCTGAATGATGTGTCGGTTTCAAAATCTGACAGGTCATTTCATGAACAAGAAGCTACTAGTAACACGGGCATCGCTACTAGTAACAAAGGGCATTACTACTAGGAGCAAATAGTGAATGTCCTGGTGCCCTGCAGATCGAGTGTAGTCACAGGGCATGCTAATTGTTGTTACTAGTAGCTTCTTGTTACTAGCAGCGATGCCAGGAGCTACTAGTAGCTTCTTGCTCCTAGAGCGATGCCCTTTGTTAAGAGTCGCTGGGGTACGCACCAGGTCACCAGGGGCTTCAACAATTGGAGCTTGAGTAAAGTGGACAATTTGTCCTCTTAGTCTGCAGTGTATCTCATGCCGTTGTGAGAACCAACTCTGACTCTGCTAAGACCACCAGCACCATCACCAGCACCAGCACGGTGACGGTGCGCCGCTGTGTGCGCGCCGCAAGAGGACGTGCCAGTCCTGACGGTTCGTTTGCTTGTCCGGTTTTTTGTGGGACACCAGATTGAAATCTTCGGTGTCACGCACTGTATCGATGCTCTTTTCGTTTGGGACCGAACAAGTATTGCTGGATGCAGCCAGGGGAGCTTTATGCCCTGACAAGAAGTGTGTAAAATTTGCGATCTTCTCGCATGGCAAGACGTTGGAAGGGAATGAAGTTGTCCTCTTTTGAGATGGAGTTAGAGTTGTTGGACCCAGAGATTCTTGAAGTGGTTGGTCTGACCCAGAGGCCATGGGCACATCCAGTATGGCAATGTATTGTACTTACCTTCCACTTCCACTTCTCAATGAATTGTCAACCTCTGGCACTGATGCTGCACCTTCGATGACTTTTCAGAGTAAGCAGCACCGGCCCAGATGAGCACCTATCAAAACCAGGTCTTATGTAGCTTAAAGGAGGCTAGAGACATCGTTTTT